TCCTCCCCCGCCTATTATTTAGCTAATATCTATTGCAAAAACAGAAAATACGTGCTTTAATGATCCTACTTGTTTAGTAAGGCGAAGATTTAATAAATATTCAACTTACCTAATATACTTTCTACCTTGCGTAGGGGTCTGTCTATTATTTAGCTAATATCTATTGCAGAAACAGAAAATACGTACTTTAATGCTCCTACTTGTTTAGTAAGGCGAAGATTTAATAAATATTCAACTTAATATACTTTTTACCTTGCGTAAGGGTCTGTCTAATCTTTTCGATGTCTATTATTTTTAGTATATTGTAGACTCATCTATTTAGTAAGGCAAAGATTTAATACATATTTCTACCTTGCGTAGGGGTCTATTTAATTTTTTCGGTATCTATTATTTTTAGAATGTTATAGACTTATCTATTTAGTAAGACAAAGATTTGATACATATTTCTCCTTTCTCCCTCTATTTACAGGATGAAACGAGGTCTATAATTGTTTTGTTTAAGACGTATAGGAGCTTCGCCCCTACCCCTTACACCACCTCTGCCTGTGTCCATACTACCTACTCTTCCCTCAATCTCCTCCCCAATTCTTCATCTTATATTAAAAAGTTAAAGTTTTATTTTATTAATTTTAAATAATGTTTATATTATTAAGATCATTCAAAGTCATGACCTTAACAACATGTGTCCATTAATTTTTACTTTTTTTGTTAATAACTTTTTAACGAATAACGAGCGACGGCTCTTAATAGTCACTCATACACCCACAGAAAAGATTGCTGTATCTGATGCTAATATTCTTCCTTGTATCATAAAATAAGATTGATATAGGGACAACTATAATTATTGTTGAGAGAAGAATATTTTATTTTTAAATGCAAATATTCTGAAATCTAGAATAAAATAATCTTGATGCTATCTCATTAAATTTTTTGAAAAGATTTCGGTTAGAATAATGAAAATTTGCGGCAATCTTGTAATATTCTTGATTTAAGAATAAATTGACTAGTCTTGCGAAAAAAAAGAAATTCTTTTTTCT